CAAATAGCGCGGGAGTGTTTAAAAAACTGTCAAAAAATGAATTGTATTAAAAACACGTTTATTTGTCTTGTGTTTTTTTAAACTCTGTTTTTATTAATTTATTTACTTTAATTTATTCACTTGGTTTGTTTTCTGTTGCAATATTATTATTGTAATTTGTTTGATATTAACTTAAATTTTGTTATTCAAATAGATTAAGTTGTTTTATTTTTGTTTTGCTGTAAATCAGTAAAGATAATTTTAATACTTTTTACGAAAGTTGTTGTTATGATTCTCTCTAAACATTTTAATCACTTATTTTATTTTATTTTATTTTTTATTTTATTTCTTTACGTTAGCTTTAAGATACTGCAATAAGAACGGTTCTCCCTTAATACATTTATATAAATATATAAATATGCTTGTTCAAGCTGTTCATAGAAAGTTTTCTTAGTGTCATTATGTTTATCTTCCGTCGGGGCATGTGCACAAATTAGAATAATGTAGAAAAATTTTGTCTTAATACGGATTTTGGTAAGCTTTTCGTTTATTGGTGTAAATGTTGAGACCAAACTTCGTAACCTTCGGTTTACCGCAAATCCGACTCCGAATTCATGCTTTGTTGCATGGCAGATGTCACAATGTTCTCGTTTAGAGCATCCTTGTCGCGTCCATCGCATTTCTTGGTGGGCGGTAATGTCTGCCTTATATTTCTTAAGGATATTAACCAGCTGTATAGATACACCTTCTCTGTTAAGAGTTCAGAGATTCCAAGTGCATATCTTTAACGTTTGCGATTATCGTCATCAGTAAATCGTTAACGCACGTAACGCAGTAAATCGTTCGTTTCTATTACACATATCCTCATACATCCATGAGGAGGATTTCGCTACACACATTAGTTCACTACGTACGGATGATTGTGGCTATACAGAGGCGGACACGTGGAGGCTGTGTGTTAACTTGGAGAGAACAGTGAACAATCGCACTAGCATTTACTATATTAAATGCAATCAGACACTTCACCTTGTATATACGCTCCTTAACACCCTCATTATTATTATTAATATTAATATTATTGTAAATTCTGAGAGGGTTATATAATGTTCTGTTATTGTTATTAAATCTATTTGTTTATTTTCCATTAAAATTATTTGGGTTATAATGCCTGTTTTGATTAAAATTATCGCTGAGATTTGCGTTGCTAGAACTGGGTAAGCTTCCTCTGCGATAATTTGAAAACGATGTCCGACGATGTAAGATTAGGGATAATATAAGATTCTAGGATAATATAATAAGCCTCTTCTATTGTTGAAGGGTTTCTACTGTAAATCATGGTATTTGCCAGTTCTGGCAAACGTTCTTTAAAAATATTTAAACATGTTCTATTTGTCTCTCCATTTGTATTCATAAGTTTGTCGTGCGTTAATTTCCTGTCAAAAATTTTGTTTCTGACTTCTTTTAATTTAAAATAGTAATTTTTAATGGTCGATTCCAGCTTGGTTGTTGTTAGTTCATTCATTGATTCCGTCATTGACTTGGTTTCACTATAATTTGTGTTTAATATCTTTCTAAGTTCAAGCCAGTTTCTAAGCACATCAAATCTATGAATAATATTTAATATTTAATAATATTTATATTTAATATAGTCGAATTAAATTTTGTTTTCTTATTTTCACAAAAGATCTCCACAGTGGGCAAAACATTGTCAACTTCAAAGAATAAATCGAGTAGTTGGGTTTTATCACTCCCTAAACCCTAAATTGCCAAGCTAAATTGGTATGGTTGCCAAGACTAAAAACTTGTCTATTGTGAACGATTTTTGGAAGTACGTACATAACTTCCAGTTAACTATCAGCTGTAATTAAATTTGAAAAATAATAATGCACAATTATTATTAATTGACTGCCAAATTTCATTAATTTTTGGTATTATTAGTAACAAACACGTTATTTTATTTAGTTATTATTTTTACTATATACTTTGAAAATCAAAAAATTTTGATATCTCTTCAAACACACTCGTGTTTTTGCATATACAGTCGGATTTGGTCGGCATGCAAAATTTTATTTACATTGAGAAATGGAAGCGCAAACATCGTTTAAATGCACACATGATTTGTCGTTAGCATGCGATGCTTTGGAAATATGAATGAATTGTATCTTTTATTTCAAATATTTGTATTTTCTACCTAGGTAAAATTTTTTAATCTCTAAAACATGTTATTAAGAAGAATTAAAATATTAATAACCTTTCGCTAACAAAAATATATAAATAACCAAACATTAAATTACAATGAATATTTTATTTTAAATATTAATTGCATTATGCACCTACGGAAAATTTGTTATTAAAACATACCAAAAAAAATCGCTGTTGACACTTCAGCGATTGCTTTAATAATGATGAGTGAACAAATTTTGCATTGTTTGCTGGAGGCGTGTTTAAAAAATTGTTGGTAAATTTAATGTGTAATGGCGAGAGAAGACTTAATTTAATATTATATTATCTTACAATAATTGTTAACAGTATTTACAATATTTTACGCCTTTCCTTAAAATCGAAAAGTGTAATAATTAGATTATAGCAGTTTATAAAATAGGCTCTGTTGCTTACTGCCATTTTTTCCCCAAAACGTACTGAAATTGAAATACTTTGCCCCTAAAGTAGACAGTAACGCGAGTTGACAACGCGTTACTGTTACTATGAATATTTTCTTGTTGATTAGATTTGTTAGCAAATTGACAGTGAGCATATCTACATCTCCTTTTAAATTTAGGCACAAAGAAAAAGTACCAAAACATTGTAAAAATACGAAATTTGCTATACTGACGAAACAGTCTGCATAACATATATTTCGGCATAGCCCAAAAGAGCCAATTTGGCATGCCCTTTTTAATCTGGTTTGCTTACAAGAAGCTACATTTGTACAATTTATATTGCTAGTGCCAGTAGGGAATTCAAGTTTTAAGATTACCGGGAAATGGTCTGAGCCAGAAGCAAGTGCTTGTACTTCTAAGCTTTTTATAAATGGAATTGCAGCGACGTTGCCCAAGATTAAATCAATAACACTGTTACCATTCTTGTTTGAAAATGTAAAACTTGCTGGGATGTCACCGTCTGCGCAACTGTTAAGCAAGATAAAGCCATTATTTTCTATGAATTCTAATATATTTTTACCACGCATATTCGAGACTAAATCGAGAGAGCTTCTTTTAGATATGAAAATCGAACTAATTTCAGATAAGAATTCTTGAGCACCCTCTTCACCCACTCTAGCGTTGAAGTCACCACCTATTATTAAGGGGATCCCTGCATATTTTTTTTTTTGGGCTGTCAGCGCATCATAGTTGCACCAAGGACTCAGGCTAGTATTGAAAGGTGTTGTTGACCAGGTTTCATAGACAGAGATGATCTGTGAGTTAGCAAAGCAAATAAATAGCTCATATTCGTGAAAATTCGAAACGGCTGGTCAATCTGCTGAATCATGGACTGTGTGGATTCATGTAAACTCATGGACTTCGAACTCCTCCGGTAAAGCAGCAATATGGTCCGCAAATGGTAGAGCTTTCCAATGCTTTACAGGTAACCGACGGTTTTTTACTTGGGCCAAGGTAGACGAATTCTTCCTGTTCTTCTGCCATGCTCCACATAGTCTGGACTTACAGGAATTTGAGCAGGTACTCTCTGAAATCGTTGCAGAAGCCAGGGGTAAATCTCCGCTAATCATTGCGGATGACTTTAAACGAGCCACGTTCCTTTCTCTTGCCCACGTTTTAACGAAGCCTGAGCAGATAAGAGTGAGGATATTGGCGAGTCCATATGTACGGATAACTTAATCTTCAAAGTGATAAGTTTGCTGGATACATGGTGAATGATATCGACTGCTGCTACGTAGATCATAACTGAACTTAGAATCATTGAACGACTTTCTGTCAGTGAACGCGCCGCAGAAGAGGTCCCCTCTCAAGAAATTGGATAGTTATGAACTCGGACGACATAACTAATGATTTGAGCTCAAAACGCCTTCTGACGTAATACATTCCGATGGTACCTGAAGGGACTTTCAGTCCGGACATGAGTACATGTTTTTAGTGGATTAACGTTCTGCACTGATTTAGGCTTTCGATGCTTTTGAGTCCTCTTTAAAAAAAATGATATGCAGACGCGGATAATATTTGGATAATATTTAATGCAGCTAATATTCTAGGCATAGTAACGATATACAGTCGCAGCTGCTAATGTTCACAGAACAACAGCGATGTGTAAACACAGCTAATTTTCGATGCACAATAACGATGTGTGGACGCAGCTAATGTTTTAGGCATAGTAACGATATGCAGATGCAGGTACCACTGGTCAAGGCACAGTAATGGTATCTGGACGTTGTTAAGATTATAGGCACAGTAATGATATGTAGACGCAGCTACCACTGTTCAAGACACAATAATGATATCTGAACGCAGCTAATGTTTAAAGCACAATAACGATTTGCAGCCAGAGATAATATTTTAGGTACAATAATGATATGCGTACACAGCAAATATTCAAGGCACAGTGAAAGATATATGTTATAAATCACTTAACATTTTTTACTGGTTACCAGATTTCTCTCTTATGTTACTATGGAGTTCCTTGCCTTGATTTCTTGCTGCAATTATGTCCAGTACTTCTCGTTTAAAAACAGCTGATGGTCAGCTGTTCAATATTATGCAACTGGAAGTGGATACATTGTATTTTCCTTAAAAAAGCAAAGCGTTCTTTTTTTAATAAATCATATATTATTCAAAAGCCCATATATCCCAAAGCCCAAATGATTTAAATGAGACACGTAATATTACTTTTACTTATTTTATTTTATATTAAATAATTGTATAGCTTAAAAATGTTTTGTAATTAGTGTTAGGGCTTAAAAACTTATTGTTTGTCTCCTTGTAAGAGAGGATATATACAATATGTACAATATACATGTATAATTATAAAAAAATATAGGTAAATTGATTACAATTAAAAATACGTAATATTCTTCTACTTTATTATTTTAAGTATTATTGATAATGTGATTTTATCTTAAAACCATTTCATTAACTTGGTTCGCGCAAAAAGCATTTTATACATATATAATATTATACTTAATATGAACGAAATTAACAACAGAACTCTTGATCACCTAAGGTCTAGCAGTCACAAGCGTTGATCGATGCTCATCATAAGTTCCAGGAATATATTCATTTATATTTAAATTGATTGAATACGGATAGCTTCTGTTCTTAACTTCACGATTGATACGATTGTTATTATGATACGGTTGCAAAGAAGTAGAATGTTTCAGCGCTGGAAGTCCCAAATTTGTTGGAATATTCACTAAAGAAGGTGGTGGGTATACTACTTCATTTGGATTAATCGCTGAAATTAATGCTGCGGAGCGGATTCCATACTCACCAATATTTGTGTCAGTGTGCAACGGACGCATACTAGATGATGATAATTGTTTTGTTAATGGTTCAAGGGAACTAATTGGCACAATTATTGGCCGAGTTGGTATAAGTTGTAAGTATTGCACTCCTCCATCATTCATTGTTTGTGGAAAATATTGTAAGAGCACTGCTGTCGATGGTATATTTTGCATTGGCGAAAAATTAGTTTCTGTATTTGGTAATTTATAAGGTGGCCTAAAACTGTTTTGAGCGTTAGTGTTGGCTGAGCTTTCGTAACTTGCTGCGTAAGCACTCAAGGAATTTAAAGGCAGTTCCTGACTGCTTTGTTTTTGAATTTGTTTGTTTTTGATCTCCGGAACACCAATGTTATGATTTATCTTGCCGGTAATATCAGGATTGTTTACTGGGCTTGCAAATATTTTTGGTTGTGTAATTGAACAAAGAAGCAAAAACCAGAAAATAATCGTATGAAAAGTTCTTTCGGACTTTAATAAAGTTGTGTCAGCCATCTGTTTGTGAAATAAAAAATAATAAAAAATTTTAGAATGATTTCAGCACTGATTTTGAACACTATCATAATATAAAAATAATTTCATATCAAAGTAATGATATTTTCGGATATAGTTTTACTATTTCATACCTTTGGTATTGTTTAATTGCAAAAAATTTCACATAATTGCTAAGATCTGATATCTTGTGTTATATGGAAGCATACCTCATATTTGACTAGTCTGACCATATTCATTTAAAATTATAATAGTTTGACCGTGCTTAACTGTAGTAAAACTGCAATAAAATCTTACTGCAATAATAATAATTTTTGAAAAGCAAGAGTTTTTGCGAGCGAATTAATATTACAATATATATTGATCAATTTGCTTAAATTTTAATAAATAAATTCATTCAAGTAAAATTTAAGTTAAATCACTGTAAATATTGTATTTAAGCAATTTTCGTTTTATCATGTTGCAAAAGTCATATGTTTAAATAATTTATAATTGAATCTTAAATTAATACTGGAATGGAATAGACGGCCTATATCATTCCAAAAAATTCTTAAATTTTGATGCCAAAAGAGCAAACACCGCTCTTAACCTAAACAAGAAGAGTCTAAAGTCACTCTCTGGTGCACTAACAGGCCACGCCGCATGTAACGAACACCTACACAAAACAGATATATCCGATACCAATATTTGCTGATGCTGCTGGGATGAGAAAGAGTCTACGGAACATCTGATTACCAACTGTGATGCACTAGGCCACAGAAGAAACCAAATTTTAGGTGCATACCAACTAAAGGATGAAGACCTTCGAAAAATCTCTCCGAAGGAGCTGGTTCGATTCCTCGAGATACTAAATATCTAAATACAAAGGTATGCGCAATAGATCAAACTGGTCGTAGTGTATAAGTGCTTTAGCTTAACCCGAAACCCTCGAACACCATTATTTAGAGTTTGAATTTAATTAATAAACAAACAGTCACGGAAGGTGGAAATTAATAATGACCTACACAAAATGGGAATGCAAATTCCACTTGAATTGCATAACTAAAACATTTACTATTCAAACGAAATGAAATTTATATAGTAATTCATTTCAGAATTCCCTCAAAATGTTAATATTAGCAGAATGAATATTTTGTACAAATAGAGAAATGATTTTCTGAAGAAATTCGTATTAAAAAAGTTTTAAAGTTATCTATCAATGGAGCTTATATGGGAAAAAATAACCAGACAACAGTGTTCGCATGTATAACGGGTGCCATGCGGACTTGTCTAACAGCATCCATGGAGGTCCTTCTAGAACTCATACCCTTGCCTATATATATCAGAACTCAAACGGAAAGGGCTGTTCTAAGAATGAAAAAAAGCGGATAGCTGGCTCAATAGATAAAAAATCTTCTAAAATTTTGCCAAGCAGAATCCGGAGTTTTCAATGCTGTGGCACAAGATGAATCTCAAATTCACCTTTGCTAAGCTTTTTAAAACTGAACTAAGCAACAATAGAAGATGGGAGGACATTAATCAAACCTACCAGCCAACAAATAGCACAATCGCATGATTCCCTGACGGCTCGCTTACGGAGGAATATAATTATAAATATTATTATAATAATGAAAAGTATTTCAGTTTTTTAATGTGACGTTTTGGCTAAACATATTCGTATACCTAACAACAAAACAATTATGATTGAAAGCATGCATTTTTCTGTTCTTACCTTAGAACAATAAGTGTAATTTTAAAAAGATTTAAAATATTTAAAAATTTAATATTTCGCTATCTGAGCTAAGTTCATCCTTCTCACTTAAGCACATTATGGTGTCTTCCAGTTCATTAGTAGAAAGAAGCATTTCTAACGCTTCCTTTGTAAAAGGCTTTGATGGTGTTTTGGTTTTCCTCTCAATCTAGTCAGAAGAGGATCTGAAGTTAATAAAAGTCTATTTAATATATCTGTATTGCAGGACTCCTGCTGATAACTCAGACTCTGAAAAAAATCGTCTACTTGTGTTTCCATCATTACTATTTCCGAATCCAGGTTTAGGCACAATAAGATGCAAATAAGACCCATTTTGTTTTTGAATGGCTTTTGAATTTCAATTTTTCTCTGCAGAATTACAACTTTGTCACTATCTGAACGTGATTGCCATTTCTGATTAGGCAATTTATGGGACAAGTCCAACAGGTTCACAAATAGTCTTATTTCCGCATGCAGAATTGATTAACCAAACGTAAGAGAGTTTTCGTTTATTAGTAGAGCTGTAGTCAAATCATTAAAATCCTTTGAAGTTTTGTTACATATATAACATTTCTAGTAGAACTAGTGTGTGTGATAACATTGCATACTTTAGCATCTACCATGATAAGCAGCAAATTATGTGTTGTACGTATATTTTTTCCCATTAAGGTTATATTTGTTTCTACTAAGGAGCTTTTTGCATTTTGAATATAATTCACTTCTTCGTTCGTTACGTCGACTGTTTCTTTTTCAAATTGGAACCGGATAGGACGGCAATAGCGTGATGATGAAGGAGTTGGGTTTTCCCATATCACTTTCTGAGTGTTTGATAATATTAGTTGCAGTGGTACCAACGAACTTAGAAAAATACTCGTATCCAAATCGAACTCATTGTCAAATTTTTGCTTGTATTGGGATTGCCGTGATCCATCACAACTCCACTTACAAACCAGTGTCAAGTTTTTTAAATCATTCTGTTCTAATGATTTATTCACTTCTTGTTGATATTCCAATATTCTTGTTGCTGTATGATTCAAAATATCTTGTAAATGCTGTATGCTGAACCGTATGGATAACAGTCCTTTTTGGCTTTTTGGATTAAAGTATAACATGGATAAAACTTTTTATTATATATGAGCTTTTGCAGCTTTGCATTATGCTTAATATATATGCTCTACTTATTTCTGTGACCCCTGAAGTACCTAAATGCAAAGTGATAAAATTTGATTATGGAAAGATTACACGGAAACACATAGTATACAGAGATCACCAACGCTGCTCATGAGTACACTGAATCTACTGGTGCGCTTGATAAGGATTTCAAATACTTACAAAAATTAGTAAATATTAACTTTATCTTCAATGTTTCAATTGACAGATCTTTACATATCATTTCTATAAGTTTTTAACTATAATACATTCGCTTAATCAAAAAAATTCATTCAAATAGCATCTTTTAGATTAAAGCCTCAACAGCACTAAAACACAGAATATCTACTTTAAATTAATTAAGTAGATCTCTAATTGTCATAATTCATATCTTTCAAGAATATTGTCACTATTAATAATATCACTTTTTATTAGCTACTAGCGCAAGTTGCAACTCAAACTAAAATTTTCCTTTCAAAAGGCTCCACTTCAAATCAGCCGTGCAAGCGAATAAAAACCTGTAATGTGTAAAAAACACATAATCTTGTAGTGAATTCTATTTTGGAATTTTTATGAAAAATTAATTTCAAAAATTGGATTTTTGACCGCCTAAATTGAGCAAATACCCCTATGTGCGGCGATCAAAACACTAAATTTGTTTCAAGTGAATTCAAGACTGGTGCAAGACTGTCTTGATAAGCTAAATCTGCTTGGCGAATAATATCTGGTGTCGATTCTTGGGTATCGGGACATACTGGCGTACGTGGAAACAAATGCGCAGACAAACTAGCCAGGATAGGAGCAGCCATACCGATGATGGTGCCGGAACCTTTCTGTAGACTAGGACATAGTACGCTTCTTTCTCTCATAAAAATAAAGAAGACCCAGAATAAAAATGATTACTGGGATATTATACCAGTGTTAACATAATCCAAATAACTTATTGGTATCTATAATAATAAGAGATACAAAGATTGTATAAACCTATAAAAAGAAAATCTTGGAATCATCACAGGAATCTTAAAAGGGCACTGTAAGCTAAAATACTACGTTACGAAACTGTGTATACTTACGGATACAAAATGTGAATTCTGTGAAGGAAATGAGGGGTCGGCACATGTGCTGTTAGAATGCCCTGCGCTAATGCACAAACGGAATAGAGTCCTGGGAATATGTATTCTTACGAAAGAGGCAATAAAACTCTATATAGTAGGTTCTATACTACTTTTTATTGATGCAACAGGGCTAAAAGACCTACTCCAAACCCAGAAGGGGGTACAATAGACCCTGCGGTCGCAGTGCCACATCCGTTAACAATGATAATAATCCATAAAGTTTGTTATATTAGAGATTTGGCGGATTATTTTGATGTATTACTTTTTCCAGTATGCCGAATAACTTCTAACCACCTTGTTTTTGAACAATATAAATTTAGACAATTAAATAAGTAACGAATGTCATGTGAGTATAATCAAATATATACGTATTTGACCATTTACAAAACATGTGTGCTAATATTTAATTAAAACTAAAATTATTGAATTCGTCATTCGTTTGGTATAGTCGAGTGCTTTATATTAGGCCACGTGAAACTGTGTTCTCTCATTTTGACTCTGCTTAACATATATTGATGTTGAATAATATTGATATATTTATTTTCTATTAATAAAAAGTTGAACTTCTAACTTGTGTAAACAAATTGTGAATTTGTTGAATTTCAACACGGTGTTAAAAAAACGTGTTTGTTTAAAAAGACAACTAGTCATAGTACGGCATTATAAGCTCTGATTCGAACTTAGCTTCAACAGCTTGGATTGTGGCGGTTTGTGTACGCGGTATAAGCTTATGGGATAAGCTGAACCTATCTACGGTCGCTTTCAACATGGTCTCGCGTGAACTACACAGTAAAAATTTCAAGCCGGTAGTACATTCACTATTTGTATAAGGAGATTATTGATTTTTTATCAATCTTTAAGAGGAAGCACAACGTGTTTGTTTCAATTTCGGCTGAGTGCACATTGTACTTGTGCATTTAAAAAACGTGCATGGGAACTGTTTGGTGGGTTTGTTATCTTTTTCCTTTCGATTTTGGAAAAAATCGTGGTAGGAGGAAGCATTTCAATAACCTTTGGAGTTATATTGATTGTAATTTGCACATCAACTCTCATTCTTGGTGAGTAATGTTGCAAAAACTTAATTACTCTTATTATTATGTTATATTTTACTACTATTGTATTATATTATATATATTATTATATTACATTTTACTACTATTATATTATATTACATATATTTTATATACTATATATTATTTATATATACATATTGTATTACTCATTCACATTTTCACTTATTTACTATTGTAGTTATATGTGCGCTTACTTATTATTATTTATATTTGCATTTATATTTATAATTATATTTATATTTAAATTCGTATTTGTATCTGTTTTTGTAAGTACATCTGTACGATACTGTATTTATAGTAACATCTATATTTGTAGTTATATTTTCATTCAATTTATATTTATTATATATTGTATTTATATTGCACTTACATGTATACATCTTTCTTATTCACCTCCTATTATTCACCTTGACACAGCTAAGCTGTGTAACTACCCCCACCGTTATGTTCGCTGTGATGAGACACATCCTCGTGGCGAGTGTCAACTTCCTCCTCCTGCTTTAGACCCAGTCACTCAGGAGCAATTTGCTGCCACTATTCCCAAGTAAGACGTTCGCTTCGCGCCAGTAAGACTCGTGCGCAAAAACTCCCCCCTCATGTCTATCGACCAGAGGGAACCAATGAATTTCGTGAGACCTTGACTCTCATTTGCCTCTGCGGCAAAAGCCGCAACCCCCAAGCCCACTTCTTGATGTTCAGGGAATCTTCGCCTTTGCTGCAGGCATTAAACAGCAGTACAGCCTTCTACCCCACTCTCACAAGAAAGCCTTTCCTGTCCGGAAAGTTCTTGAATTGGCTTTGAGATGAATGATCTAAGGATCATTCTCATAAATGTCAATTCTATACACTCCAATCCTAGGCGAACCATTTTCGCGGATTTTCCTGAACGCAACAACTCTCATATCGTCCTTGTGAATGAAACACGGTTCAATATCAAAGACGTTGTAGATGTCAGAGGATATCATTTTATCCGGTTCGATAGGGACGGCGTCAGTGGGGGAGTCACCATTTTGGCAAAAGACTCCCTCAAGTGTACTAGAATTCACATCCCTTCACTTGTTTTTCTTGAGGCGGTTGGCATTACTCTTTCTCTTTCCAACCGCTCTGATTTTAGCATCTTTTGCGTCTATCACACTCCCTCTATTGCTGCGTACCTTGTTCCTTGTGATCTGGGCATCCTTGCCCTCTTGTCCACTAACCCTTTCCTTATCGGTGGTGACTTCAATAGTAAGCATACCTTTTGGAATAATTCTGCCTCATGCCCTAGTGGCACTTCATAATTTGAGCATCCCCGAACACAGGAACATGACTCCTGTGAAGATCGTATTTGCTGTCCATACTCTTGAAAGCATCTTTGCCTCCACAATTGATGAGCATGTTCCGAAGGTGCGTGTTCGCAAATTTTATCAAATTCCACTTGATGCTTCTACCCTTCACCTCATTAAACTGAGAAAATCGCTTCGCCGCCGAACTTATCGTCTTAGACAGGTAGCTTCAACGCAAGCTCATGCGCTCCAAGCGATCCTCAAAAATCTGGAAACCATAATTGCCCAGAGAGTCAACCAATCCAGGTTTAATTCCATTAGTGCCAGACTTCGTGTCACCCAGTGCTGGTCTGACGTCTTCAGTACGGTCAGGCAAATCTGTGGATCGAATAGGTCCATCTCAGAGCGCCACTTTACGTCCACTACGAATTCTGTAGTTCATGGGCTTTTTGATGCTTTCAATGAAAGCATTGTCACATTCTCCCCGCAGTTCCCCGCTCACTTCATCAATGTTGAAGACACCGAAGGGTTTCTCACCCCTTCCAAACTCATTGATATGCTTCGGCTCAAAACGCCCATAAAGTCATCTGGCACTCACTGCGTTTCTTTCTCATCACCTTTTTAAAAATGTGCGCGATGCTCTTCTTCCATTCGCACAACATGATCAAGCAAGCATAGTCGCTGAATTTTTATGCGCTATGTCAATGTCGCGGTATATCTCATGCATCTAAATCGATACTCGTTTCTAACGCGTAAGGAAGCATACATCTTCTGAAGAATTTTTCTCTTGAATGCTTCTAACGCCTTCCTATCACTATTGGTAATTGTCCAAGCTTCTGTGCCATACAGCAGGACAGGAATGATACGACACTTATAGAGCAGGATTTTTGTTTGTCCAGAGAGAGCTTTATTTCTCAATTGCCTACTTAACCTGAAGTTGCTCTGTTGGACGGAGTGATTCTTCGTTGCATGTCTAGGGTCAAGTCATTTTTGGTGCTTACGCTGCTTCCCAAATAACGAAATCTTTCACAACTTTGATCTTATAACTGTCAGTAATGCCGTGAATCCTTTTATTCTTAAAATATTTGTTTGTTGACAGAAAGTGTTTTGTCTTGTCCACATTTACCACAAAAACCATTTGTTTAGATTTTGTTATATGGTAAGTTGTAAAAAGTTTAAAATGAAACTTCGTTTGATGTCAAACGGCTCGGAGAGGTTCTTCCCGATTTGAACGAAACTGGTGGTGTTGCTCAACTTCATTTTACATAGCCGTATAAGTTTTGCTGCATGAAATCGACAAATCGATGGTGTGTGTTGATTTCCTTATATTGAATCTCCTTCCGGATATGACACACTGTGAGTATCTTATCTAGAGTGGATTTGCCACTCTATAAGGGCCAATTTTCTGATTGGATGCAATCTTTCACATAGTTCGTTCGACAAAACCTTGTATGCGATATTTAATAGACTAATCTCATAATAATGGGTGCAATTTACAGGATAATTTTTG